CATACTCTGGTTCAGAGACTTGGGGTGGGTAATAACATATAAAACATGCCTCTTGCTTGCCAGCTACCACTGCTAATAATAATAGTAGTCATAATTCATTGGAATCCAGGGTTTTTTTTTTTTAGGGTTTACTTGGTTCGTTTATTTGCTTAGCTTAAAGGAATAAAAAAGAAAATCTTGGGAAGAAACAAGGCGGCATTGCACAAAGGAAAAAGTAGACATCTGTAGCAGAACTGAACAGTTCCTCTAGTTTGTTGGCTACTTTTGTCCCTCAGTAGGACTTTGCAATTTCCTTTAGCTGGAGGGGAGGGGCTGAACATAGGGTGGTGTTAGGTTAATTTAAAGCAGGGTTTCTGGACTTTAGCACTGTTGAGACATTGAGCTGGGTAGTTCTTTGTCATGTGGAGACTACCCTGTAAATTGTAGAACTGGCAGCAGCATCCCTGGCCTCTGCCACTAGATGCCAGCAGCACCCCCTACCCGCCAGTTCTAACAGTCAAAAGTGTCTCTAGACGTTGCCAGATGTCCCTTGGAGGACCACGTTGCCCCCAGCTGAGACCTGTTGGCTTAGAGTAAAATGAGTGTTAAAGGCTCCATTATTTTTCCATTTTGTCTAAGCCAAAAGTAGCAGGATTGTGATTTGTTTTTTCAAGTTAGGAGAAAGCAGAAGGTGATTTAGAGTTTGAAATCACATTCTGCCATGCCTTTTCCTGGGTGAACTGCAGTTCAATTTTAACATCATGTTTCAGGTTTACACGCGCACTTAGAAATACATAGGACCTTCCTCCTCCTCCTTTTTTTTGAGTCAAGGCCTTACACTTTCGCCCAGGTTGGGGTACAATGGCACAATCACAGCTCACTGCAGCCTTGACCTCCTGGGCTCAAGTGATTCTTCTGACTCAGTGTCCCGTGTAGCTGGGACTACAGGTGTGCACCGCTATGCCTAACTAATTCTTTGATTTTTTTTATAGAGATGAGGTCTCACTATGTTGCCCAGACTGGTCTCAAACTCCTGAACTCAAGCAATCCTCCTGCCTTAGCCTCCCAAAGTGCTGGGATTGTAGGCGTGAGCCATGGTGCCGGGCCAGGACCTTCCTTATGTGCAAGTTGTCACGTGGATGGTTATTTATGGGTTATTCTTTGAGGTAGATGCAGCTGCAGTGATTGATGACCTAAGTTCATATTTTAGTAACCTCAGTTGGAATCTGACCCTTTGTATCTTTTTCTTCTTTTGATGGAAATCTTTTATAGCCCAATGATCTTGGGAATTCATCAGAGATATTGAATGTGTGAGAACAAATTACTCAATTCCTGTTTCCAAATAATGCTTGTTATTTGATGCTTTCTGAAAACATAGAAAAGGAATTAAGGGGGCGGGGGAGAATAAGCATATGCTTGGATTTGCAATTGTGTTTACTTCTCAATAAGCTTAAGTTTTAAAAAAACAACACTTTTACTGTTTATCTGAATCTTTTTTCAAATAATTAACACATCAGGATTGGCAGCAGTTGGCCAGTCTATATGTCAGGCAGACTTAGCCTTTTGTATTTTTTAGTTAATATGGGGCATGTTGGAATCCTGTACTTCCCAGGTGTGTGGAAGATATGGTGGTAATTGTAGAGTACTGGCTCTTAATCTTGGTGTCATGTTAAAATTACCTGGGAGCTTTGGAAAGAACCAAGGCCCAGGCCACATTCCAGACCGATTATATCAAGATTCTCCAGGAGTGGAGCCCAGGCATCAGTTCTGGGTCCCTTTCTCCCATTATTCCTATGGATGTGAAGGTTTGAGAACCAGTGCAGATTTATATAGATAAAGTGAACACAGCCATGCCCATTCATTTACCAATTGCTAAAGACCCTTTGGCTTGCAAAGCCTAAAATATTTACTATTTGACCATATACAATAAAAAGTTTACTGGTTCCCTGCTGTGGACTCACAGTTAACACTTTTCTTTCTTTTTTTTTGGAGTTGGAGTCTCACTCTGTCGCCCAGACTGGAGTGCAGTGGCCGCTCCCGGCCACCGCAGCCTCGACCTACTGGGCTCCGGCGATCCTTCCACCTCAGCCTTCCAAGTAGCTGGAACTACAGGCGCGCGCTACCACGCCCGGCTGATTTTTTGATTTATTGTAGAGATGAGGTCTCGCCAAGTTGCCCAGGCGGGTTTCGAGCCCATGGGCTCAGGCAATCCACTCACCTCAGCCTCCCAAGTTACTCAGCCTCCCAAGTTTATACTTTGTATAAACTTTCATAGTAAAAGAAAAAAAGAATCCAGCATTTTGTGAAGTCTGCTGGCTCAAATCCTGCCAGTGTTTTTGAACACAGGGAAAATTGAAAAGCATTTTCTTTGAAGAACTGACTTGCAGATATTGTCAAACTTGAAGGCAATGTGACCAGAATGGGGAGATTCCATCACTTATATTATGACTTTCTGTAGTTAAAATTGGCACCTTGCTTCTATTCCAATATTCATCACTCAGACTGTGTAATTGACTTGAGGGAAGTCTGTGGAGGCAGAAATGGCTCTTCAAACTGTTGGAGTTTGTTATTACCACTGCAGCAATTCCAGATAGCGGTAGATCCCTGAAAAAAATATTTTTTCTCTGGAGAACTTTATAAATAAAAAGGAGAATAATGAAAATTTAAAAATCACTATTTACATATTTCCACCCTCCCCCAAGTTCAGGTAAAGACTTGATTGTTGTAAAAAGAGTTTTTTTTCCAGATGATTCTCCTTTGGTCATGGTCTCCTATAGGTGCTAAGTATGAGAGAAAGAATCATTTATTCTAGCCCTTGGGCACCAAAGTGAGGTTTTGGGGCCAGCAGAATCAACATCTCCACCTCAGACTTTTTGCAGTGTCAGGATCTAAATTTTATTTTTTTTGAATCGGAGTCTCATTCGGTTGCCCAGGCTGGAGTTGTAGTGGCACGCTCATGGCCACCCCAGCGTTGTCCCATTGGGCTCCAGCGATCCTTCTGCCTCAGCCTTCCAAGTAGCTGGAACTACAGGCGTGCACTACCATGCTTGGCCAATTGTTTGATTTATTGTCTCACCATGTTGCTCAAGCTGGTCTGGAACCCTCAGGCTCAGGCAATCCTCTTACCTTGGCCTCCCAACGTGCTGGGATTACAGACTTGAGCCACCGTGCCCAGTCAGGATCTACATTTTAACAGCTACATTTTAACAGCATTCACTGGTCATTTGTATGCACATTAAGAGATCACTGGAAAGCAGTGGACTAATTGGTAATTAATTGATAATTGATTGCCCCTTCCCTCTTAGAAAATTTCATGACTTCTTAATGGACTGTCCTGCTGTGGGCTCACTCTTCAGGGTGGTAGTCAGTTTTTCCCCTTTGGCTATTTTCCCAGCATAGCTTGCTTGACCTCTCAATTAGTAAAGATTTTTAAGGTGGTAGCAGATGAAAATGGGATGATTGACCTAGAGAAGATGCCATTTTATATACTTCAGAAAAACGAACTATAAAGGATAAAAGGAACTTGCCTGGATAAACTTCACTTGAAAGGAAATAATCACCTGTAATGGAGACGTCTTTCCTTCTCCAAGAAGAAATAATTTACCCATCAGAGCATAGGTTTGAGTGGGGAGCAGCAGGAGGATCAAAACAGAATCTTTTGGGCTTCTCAAAGTACCAGAAACTAAGGACTTAGGCATTTCCACCAAGTAATGCCTTAATACTCAAAGTACCTTCAGGCCAGTGTTACGTGGGAATTGTCCGGAGCATAAATGTTCATAGAAGATCTTGGGGAAGCTCAGTACCTAATTTTATCTTGCCAGCCTCTGTCAAGTTAGTACTATTTTATCAAGTAGCGTTCAAAACATTTGATTGGAAAACATGAGCTTAAAATTATTCCTTAATTCTGAACAGAATTGTTTTATTTTGAACATTCCCTTAGACTGACTTTCATTTAAAAGTGGATAATATCTATATTTATTTTTTTAAAAGGCAGTATATATAACTGAAGTTCAGCTCTGATCTTGCTATGATGATATGATTGTGAGTTGAATGCTCAGTGCCCTGTACCAGGGGCCATGCGAGAAGCAACAATACTGGATGTTTGTGGAAGTAGGTCTGTAAACACTCATCAGTAGGGCCAGGAAAGTAGAAGTAGGGGGCCCCTTCTGAGCCATCAAGTCACATCTCCTTAGCTTTGAATGAGAAGTTAGGAATATGTAGGGAACTAACTGCTCCTTACACAAAAGCCACCCCATGTCCCAAAGGCAGTGTCTGGTTGCCAGAAAAATGAATGACTTCTGAGCCCACGTGCAGCTGCCACTGCTGCTGGAGAGGAATGGCTTGTGCCTCCCTGCTGCCTTCTCAGTCTCACTTTGTGTGTCCCGTTAGCAGAATCCAAATCACCTCCAGAATCCAGTCCCAGACTTCCATCCCTTGCTAAGAGGAACAGCAATGACAGTAACAGGATCCATCACAGCTTTGTGCTAATGAGAGCAGCTTACCAGCACACCTGGTTTGTGTGTTGTTTTACAGCTGTTTTGGGAATATTCTTGTATGAACACTGTATAGTAACCAAGGTAAGGTGCCAGTTTTACTTGTGAGGTAATATGGGAAGAGGTTCACGACTTGCTCCAGGTCAAACAAGCTTGTCATTGATACGGCAGATTGTGTTGGTTTCGAAACAGTGCTCTCCCCCTCTACCACCCTGTTCTCTTTAGTACTATTTAATTGAGCATCATATGACCAGACATAATTTTAAGGGTGCTTTAGAGAACACCCCAAGATAGAAAGGGCACCTTCAAGATGCATATTTCTGGAGTTCTTAAAAGTCCAGTGCATTGGAGGAGTGTATTTGTGGTTGAAGATACTTCCAACTTTATAGGCTGTTCTCTTAATTTACAAGACCAGTGCTCTAGCCCTGAGCTATAGGGGTCCCTTAATTTAAATAATTAGGCAATTCTGGTAATAATGGTAAAAATACGACTTAGATCATAACACATTTCTTCTTTTTTCTCAAGCAGATGAAGAACTCGGAGAACCGCCATGCAGTGAGTTCCCAGTACAGGATGCATTCCTACTACCCACCTCCCTCTTACCTGGGCCAGAGCGTGCCTCAGATCTTCACTTTTGAGGATGGTCCCTCTTACTCGGAAGCCAAAGCCAGTGGTAGGTGTCTGGATACGCAGACTGTATTAGGGGTGGAGAGAGGATGTGTCCAATACTGGATCACTTAACACTCTCTGGTGGCTTATCTGCTAGGAGTTACTGAAAAGGTTATTGCTTTGTGAAGCTTAGATAAGTATTCTTTAAAGTATTTAGTTATTGAATGATTTTGCTTTCTTGATTTTTTTTTTTTTTTTTTGAGTTGGAGTCTCACTCTGTCGCCCAGACTTGAGTGCAGTGGCCGCTCCCAGCCACCGTAGCCTCGAGCTGGGCTCTGGCGATCCTTCCGCCTCAGCCTTCCAAGTAGCCGGAATTACAGGCATGCGCTACCGCGCTCGACTGATTTTTTGATTTATTGTAGAGATGAGGTCTCGCTGCCCAGGCGGGTCTCGAACCCGCGAGCTCAGGCAATCCACTCACCTCAGCCTCCCAAAGGCGCGGGATTACAGGCTGAGCCACCAAGCCCGGCTTCTTTCTTGATTCTTAATACCATATTTTTTTCCTTTCTGGATACCTAAAGTGAAAACAGGAAGAGAGAGACTCTCATTTGAAAGCTAAAAGTGTATTGTATGGAGGATCAGTATGAAATACAGGGGCACTTTCAGTGTGGTTCAAGTCCACACTTTTTTGTGGCGAATTTCTGTATATTGAAAACTCATTTCCCAAAGATTTTCATTTTAAAATTGAAGGCGTATTCATCTTTTGGGAGGAAAATAAAAATAACATAATAAAACATTTTTGAATACAATAGATCTCAGAGTTTATGCAGTAGCAATGCAAATAACTCTGATATAATGGCTTTGAAATAAAAAATGACTGTTCAATGAACCAAAGCACTTTGAAATACACAGTTCCTCAACTTCAGTTTTAACCTTCTCAACATTTACAATGTGGTGATATGGCCGCTACGTCCCCAGATACTGTGTTTAAGTTCTTTATATTTAAACATCATCTGTTGATTTAGGAAAGTGGGAAGCATCCACGATCGGCAGTAAGTGGAAATCAGGATTTGGAAGAGAAACTGAGCTGGTAGAACTTACCCTGTAGTAAATTTAAAAAGAAGTTTATTTTCTAAATAGCTTGACTTCATAGAGAACTTGTTTCTTTGAAAAGCAAATATTTAGAGAATAAGAATCAGAACCATGCTATGATTTCTAAATTCAGAGCAATAAAATCTAAAAAAAAAGCTGGCCAAGTTATACTTTGTTTACCGTACAAAAATAAAATAGAGGACTTCCATTAATATGGAATATGTAGGTCATGGGAATCTATATATTTGAGCTGTAGAGAGACTGAAGTATACACTGTTTGTTGTACTTTCACTTTCATTAACAATTGCTTTTTCTTGGGAGAGTATAAACACAGCTTTGTTTTGTAAATAGTCATCTAATGTATACCCATATGGTCCTTCTCTCATACCACCTTGGAGTCTGTATATTTATTTGGATTACAAGCTATTTAAGGACAATTTTATATACCTTTTTACCTGTTCTGATGCCTTTTGTTGTTTGTTGGTTGAGTGAATGAATGAGTGAATCTGGTATTACTTTTTTTTTTTTTTTTTTTGAGTCAGAGTCTCACTCTGTTGCCCATGCTGGAGTGCAGTGGCATGCTCATGGCCACTCCAGCGTCCACCTGCTGGGCTCAGGCGATCCTTCACCACAGCCTTCCAAGTAGTCAGAACTACAGATGCATGCTACCACACCCGGCTAAGTTTTTGATATATTGTAGAGATGTGATCTCACCAAGTTGCCCAGGCTGGTCTTGAAACCCTGGGTCCAGGCAATCCTCTTGCCTCGGCCTCCCAAAGTGCTGGGATTACGGGCTTGAGCCACCATACCTGGCCTGGTATTACTTATAACTGAGCTTCCCCTGTAAGGGAACATAAACATGAAAGGTCAGAATCCGAACGTATTGTTGGTCGAATGGAACCTCTGCACCATTTGGGGAAGAAGCAGCTAAAGGAAAATTTGTTCGTACAGAAAATTAGGAATGAAACCTACTTTCAGGAAGAAATTGCCTGAGCTTTTAAAAGCTCCAGGAATAATGGGATATTTTTAGAACCACTGTCGTTCTTGAGACCAAGGTGTGAAGTCAAAGAGCAGGGCAGTAAGACAAAAATATAAGAGGCAATTTGTTAGAGCAGAGAGAAATGAATTTAGAGGGGACCTGCAGGCATTTGAATTTATGATAGAAAAGGAAGCAACTCAGGAAGAAAAGAGGTTACAGCCCAGGAAAGAAAAGACCACCTGTACCAGCATTTACAGGGTAAGACTGGATGAGTAACAACTGGGATTTAAAACTTTTCTGGCAATGGGAACATTTGAAAGAGAAGTGTGGAAGGAGGCTTAACTTCTGGTACCCCTCTGATTCACTCATAATTAACCTGGAGGCTCAAGCTTAAGAAATGAGGGAGTTAGCCAGGAAGAGCCACAGTGAAATCTCAGTACTGTCGTCTTTGGAATGATCATGGAGAAAGGAGTATATGAATTAATAGAAAATCCAAATCCCAACTAATTTTTTTTTTTTGAGTTGGAGTCTCACTCTGTCACCCAGGCTGGAGTGCAGTGGTACACTCACAGCCACCGCATCCTTGACCTGTTGGGCTTAGGCCCACTGTCTGTTAAGAAGTCCCCAGGTGACCACTAATCTGCTTTTTGTTTCCTTGAATTTGCCTGTTCTGGATGTTTCATGTAAATGGAATCACATAATATGTGGCCTTTTTTGGTCTGGCATTTTTCACTTAGTCAACTGTTTTCATGGTTCATCTACATTGTCACATGGATCAGTACATGGTTCATCTACATTGTCACATGGATCAGTAAATTCCTTTTTGTGGCTGAATGTCATTCCATAGTATGTATATTCCACATTTTGGTTATCCGTTCATCAGTTGATGGACATTTGGGTTGCTTCTACCTTTTGGCTATTGGGAATAGTGCTGCGGTGAACATTGTGTACAAGTCTTTGAATATCTCCTGTTTTCACTTCTTCTGAGCTTATACCTAGAAGTGGAATTGCTGAGTCATATGGTAAGTCTGTATTTAACTTTTTGAGGGACACCTTACTTTCCCATAGCACCTGTATCATTTTAAATTCTCACCGCAACATATGAGGGTTCCAGTTTCTCCACATCCTTGCCAGTACTTATTCCATTTTTTAATATTTTGGCTTTAGTGATTCATTTGTATAACATTTTACAAAAGTATAATGCCTTGGTGGATTGGAAACTGAAAATTAAAGCAAAACAGGTCCCAAATAGTTTGAAAATCACTTATCTAGTGCTGAAGTGGAGGGCTGGCTTATGTAAGAGTATGGCCACTTCATAATAACAGATGCAGGCTGTTCGGGAAGTGGTTGTGAGGATATCCCAGAAATGTTGTCTCCCCAGTTGAGGATAAAGAGCCAGAGCTCCACAGCAGTACCTCTGTTCTGATAGGCGCACCTATGTCTACAGGTGGGTGGCATTTCATATCTGTGAATGGGCATGTCTGGATTCTTGAGTATACGCTCTTAAGAGTATATGGCTGGTTAACTAACCTGCAAAAAAGGTTTAGATTTAAAGTGAAGAAGATGAGCACACTTAAAGTGTTTTTATTTTGTGATATCAGTTTAAAGATTAGAAGTGGTGCCTATTATTTCTTTTGGTTCTTTGGCTTCTTCCGACTCTGAATCAGTGGCAGGCTTCCATGCCGCCTCGCTCTTCTTCACATTCAACCTGTGCTCTTTTCAGGAGAAAGAAACATTTGAGGGGTTTCTTACAGATCACGAAGTGTTCATGTATTATTCATTTTTTTTTTTTGAGTTGGAGTCTCACTGTGTCACCCAGGCTGGAGTGCAGTGGCACTCTCATGGCCACCCCAGCTTCGACCTATTGGGCTTGGGCATCCCTCCATCTGAGTCTTCAAGTAGCTGGAACTACAGGCACGTGCTACCACACCCGGCTTATTTTTTGATTTATTGTAGAGACGAGGTCTCGCCAAGTTGCCCAAGCTGGTCTCGAACACACGGGCTTAGGCAATCCACTTGCCTTGGCCTCCCAAACTGCTGGGATTACAGGCTGAGCCACTGAGGCTGGTCACGTATTATTCATTTAACACACATAGGCTGCCAGCAGCTCTGTGAAGCAAGGTGCAGAACATCTGCATGTTATCCAAAGGTTAGATGGCCATAGTCAGTGGAAGGGCCTCTCAGAGTTGAAGGCCTGCCTGATACTCTTTTGTGATGTCTGAGTAGCTTGCAGAGGCCTATCTGCTCCCAGACATGACTTTTTGGATCCGTTCAGCATTAGCAGTGTTGTGGGCCAATGAATCTAGCAGTCTGATTTCCCTGATACCATGTGCCTCTCAGAGCTCCACGACTGTCATGGTTACATGCAAAATCATTACACTTGCACCTCAGGGAATGGATTGCATAATGCTGCACATTTCACTTGAACTTCTAGGATTAGTTCATCTGGGTGAATCTTCCAATTTTGCAGGTGAGAACATTGAGGTTCTGCTCTCTGTCAGATGTACCTTCAGGTCTCCTTGTTCTCGATCTCCAAAGCTGCCCTTCATGTGAGGTGAGGGGGCATTCTGTGACAAATCACTGTGTCATGGTAGAACATTCTGCAGTTAGAATCTGAGTGGGCCCATAACTCAACAGCTGTGTAGCTTCAGGGGTATCAGATGCTTCTTTGAGAGCTTCGGTTTCCTCACCTGTGGGAGAGAAACACATGGACTCTTGTCTTTCCCTGCTTTAAGGAAAGCTGAACATGTTTTCTACAACATTTAGAAAATGCTTCGTTTAGGCAGGACATGGTGACTCTCACCTGTAATCTTACTATTTTGGGAGGTTTAGTTGGAAGGATTGCTTGAGCCCAGGAGTTTGAGATCAGCCTAGGCTAAAGAGTGAGACCTTGGCTCCACAAAAAATTTAAAAAATCATCCGGACATGGTGTCCAGATATGAAATGCCACCCACCTGTAGACATAGGTGCGCCTATCAGAACAGAGGTACTGC